CACTAAAATGACTGTCATGAGTACTCCTATATATTAACCCTAATTAATTTGTTTAAATTTTGTCATAAATAAAATCAATCCCAGCAAACCATTTCAAGGAAGCTTTTCTTTCTAAGTCAGGAGACTATATACCTATATTTTAAAAATATATTTACTAGAATATATACAAATACATGTATATCTTATATATACATGTACAGAATTCTTTTAAAATCACAAATATTCAAATAGCAGAATATAATAAAATGTACTTTACACAGAATCTAATTTTTTATAATTTAGAAGGAAATCAAGATAGTAAACTGTCACAAAATTTTATATCTAAACACAAACTATCCAAGTACTCATTCTCCCACTAGGTTCTCAGTGCCAGAACACTGGGGAATATTTGTTGAGTCAATGAATAAACTAGTTTCTTTTGTATTAGAAGGCACACATACTTAATAGATGTGATTCAACCAACATTATAAATAGTAAATATTACTAGTCAATTAGATTACTCATTTTCTTACCAAGAAAATATTGTTAGCTCTACTTAAAAATTTCATTTTGAAAACCATTTAAGATAGATTTTTCCCTTCTCTACACACAGGAGTCGATTTGCAAAGCCAGGAAAGACATATTACTTCTTTCATTTTCCCTTTCCTCATTACCTCTTAAGTATTCAGCAGTATGTTGGGTATTAGTTTGCATCAGGGTATATGAACAAAAAGAATATACAGACAGGAAATAAATTTCATGCTCTGTCTTCCTTTCAGGGAAGACTTAGAAGCCACACACTGAAGATAGCAGCATCACTTTTAAAGAATGAACCGAGTCCCTGAAGGGCTCCACAGAGCTAAGCTGAACCCAAACACTATATGGAACACCACATTTTCACAAGGCACAAAAATCCTGAAATTGGAGTTTACAATTTAGAACCCAGCTGAAGCAGTACATCTGTGTTGTAGTGCTGTCTGTCTAGAGGAAACATCTCTAGAGTGACCCAGGTAGCCCTAAAAGCAATGATGGAATTTGGGTTGCAATAAAGAAATTCACCATGGCTATGTGTACACATTTGTTTGAACACTGTTTAAAAACATCTCCTAAAAAGTCAAGAAACCTGGATCAAATTCTTGCTCTTCCACTAATTAACTTATAATTGAGAGCAAACAATTAGACATTTCTAAGTTGGGTTTTCTTAATTTGTAAACAGCCAATTATCCATTAAATAAAATGGGCTGGCTCACTTAGGCACTCAATACATGTTTGCTTTCAAACAACCACCCCCAACCTATTAACACAAGGGCTCTAAACTCATATACCTGGTAAATCTATGAAAAAGACAGTTATTGTCATCATATTTGTGGTACAAATGGCTTTTTACAACATCTGTATGTTGGGTTTAAAAAAAATCTACCTTAAGAAATAGAAGCCAAACCTGGACTTTCCTGGTGGTGCAATGGTTAAGAATCCACCTGCCAATGCAGGGGACACGGGTTCAAGCCCTGGTCTGGAAAGATCCCACATGCCGAAGAGCAAGTAAGCCTGTGTGCCACAACCACTGAGCCTGTGCTCTAGAGTCCACGAGGCACAACTACTGAAGCCCTTGCGCCTAGAGCCCGTGCTCTGCAACAAGAGAAGCCACTGCAATGAGAAGCCCGTGCACAGCAACGAAAACTCAATGCAGGGCTTCCCTGGTGGCGCAGTGGTTGGGAGTCCGCCTGCCGATGCAGGGGACACGGGTTCGTGCCCCGGTCCGGGAGGATCCCACATGCCGCGGAGCAGCTGGGCCCGTGGGCCGTGGCCGCTGGGCCTGTGCTCCGCAGCGGGAGGGGCCACAGCAGTGAGGCCCGTGTACCGCAAAAAAATTTTAAAAAAAACAAAAAACAAAAAAACCTCAATGCAGCCAAAAATAAATAAATAAAAAAATAATAATAATTAATTTACATTAAAAAAAAGAAAAAGAGGGCAGACTAAATAAATCCTGAACAGGCAGGTCTTAGAATGTGTATATTCTTATGAATTTGTTTTCTGTAAGTCAGATGTTTAGAAGTAGCAACATATTTTCCTGTAAAAATAAGTTTTAAGATTCCCAAGCTAGTTTATTTAAATACAGCCAAAATATGGATCTAATTGGTGTTATATGACCATCACCACTTTGAACAAAGACTTCAGTGGAATATATATTCAGAGTTCCAGCTTGGGATGATCCTTGGGAGGTATCTCTCCCTACTAAAATCCCAGTAGCTAGAGCATAGGTACTTCCTTCCACCAGTCACGACTCTAATCTTCTAACCTATTAGGATGTAGGGCTAGAACACTGCCTGTTCTTCTGTACACATCCCACCTCCACACTCCAAACTCAAGGAACATGTGCATATAATCCCTTAGGACAAGGATGGAACTAGGGATGGCACAGGAGGGGGAGGCAAGAAACTTGGGCCTCTCTTAAGGGTAATTTAAAAAGTAGGCCATCAGAACCCCTTTGTAACTGCAGGGCTTATTTTCCTATCTATTGGGAATACTGCTGGCAGACAGTCTTCAGCTCTCTGCTCTCTTAAGGAATTGCCTTATCTGAAGAGAGCCATTTTGATCCAAGATCACTGTGCTTCTGGGGCAGTTTGCATCTAAGGATTGGGGATATAAAGGTCCATCTCCCCTCACCCCAACTTGAGACAATTCTGAGGACCATCCCAGCTTCAGAGCACCCCTTTGGGGTTGTTGAGACTTAGCAAGTCTAACCTCTCCTGTGGAAACTGGGCTTTGTTCCTTTGTATGGCACTGGTCCCCAGAGGCCTCCCTGGTAAATTTGCTACATTCTAATTTCCATCTCAGAGTCTTTCAAAATCCCAACCAGAGACAACAGTTCAAAAGAGGATCTAGGTCTGGCTCAGAATGAAACCACCAAAGGAAAGGTATTTGACTTCACATTAAAGGTCAGTAAATATAAAAGGTTTTATAAAGGCTAAAGAATGAACTCTTTTATTCCTAGCAATTTGTTTCCATTTCAGCCACTGTAAGTAATCAAGAGACCTACAGTATTTTACAGAGTGAAATAAGTCAGAAAGAGAAAAACAAATGCCATATGCTAACACACATATATGGAATCTAAAAAAAAAAAAATTTGTTCTGAAGAACCTACGGGCAGGATAGGAATAAAGACGCAAACGTAGAGAATGGACTTGAGGACACGGGGAGGGGGAAGGGTAAGCTGGGATGAAGTGAGAGAGTGGCATGGACTTATATGTACTACCAAATGTCAAATAGATAGCTAGTGGGAAGCAGCCGCACAGCACAGGGAGATCAGCTAGGTGCTTTGTGACCACCTAGAGGGGTGGGATAGGGAGGGTGGGAGGGAGATGCAAGAGGGAGGGGATATGGGGATATATGTATATGTATAGCTGATTCACTATGTCATAAAGCAGAAACTAACACACCATTGTAAAGCAGTTATACTCCAATAAAGATGTTAAAAAAAAAAAGAAAGACCTAGAGTATTTTGAGGACTGCTTCAAAAAAGTACATCTGTTTTACTATCATGTAAGCTACTAATGTACCAAGTTCAATTCTCAACTTACTTAAAAGAAAGCAAAAAAATTTAAACATTAATGAATTCAGTGTAAACATGGTATAAAGCACTGCAGAGAACAGAGCTGTTCTTATCGTGGGTGTTAATCAACATGTGACATGATAAGGAATTAATTTTCCACTAAAAATTACTCAATATATTAAGTACAGTACTTTTAATCACAATTAACAGTTAAAAATACAATGCTTACATAAAAGTCATTGTTGAAATATGGAGTTACAAATTACCAGAACATTCAAGGCACACCTCAGTAAACAAAACAAAAAACAACAAAACTGATGAATAACTAACAAAACTATTTGCTTTATTTTGGACTCAAATAATACCTTAACCCTATAAGAATGGTTGATGAGGTTTAACTATGAAATTGAGGTTCAAGAATTATTTCAAGCATATAAGTACTCATTTTTTCAGATTTTTTTAACTGTAAGACTACCTCCCAATTTGCTAAATAGCATGGTTAACACTAGCCAGGTTTTCTAATACCACCTAATAATTCATGCTGACTACTAAAATCTGGAGGTTTTACCAAAATGTATAGATAAATATATTCAGCTTTCCTATAGAAGTTCAATGAGTGGACTACGTACAGTAAAAGTTTGTCTATAACTCCTGGAAAATGGTCCAAAAGGCATTTAGCAGATGTGTATATACTACTTGCCAGGATAAGAGATTCTTAATTCTATGTGTACATATTTCAGAAAACATACCTGGACTTAAATCATCTGCTATGTGGGAATTGAAGAAGCATGCTGAGTGACACTGAATACCAGCATGCCCTTTGCCATATTACTTCACCATTACATTCTCTTCTTTTCTTTCAATAACACAAAAGTTAATTAAGTAATATTACATATCTGCAGAGACATGTTTTAAAAGTCACAAGATGATATTTAATTAAAGAAAACTGAAAATGGCAGGGCACTGGGAGGACCTGGTGCTAGTACTAATACACATAAAGCATTTCAGCCAAAATTAGTATCACTGAATTGCTATAATCGGATCCCACACAAATGTTTCATTAATTTATTTAATCCTTAGCTTTCCTATCATAACATAAAAGCAATCACTCAGAACCCATCTTTATTTTTTAACACTGCTTTTATTTAATTGTGCTTTCCTCTGAATATTCCTGCACATATTTCCTTGTTGTTTGTTGCCTTCTATAAAGAAATGCATTAAAAATCAGAATTATTATTAGCTTCATGTATAACAGCATAATATTCAATTTCTTGCCAAAATAAAATTCAGTACCATATGAGTCACTTTATTTTGTGGGTTTTTTAAAAGATGGTTAGTCTGCAATTAATTATTTAGAGGGGCAGCTTCCTAACGGCAGATCCTCCTTCACCTACAAAGAAACACAGTCATGGCTTAAAATTTATGTCATGTGGCATATCTAAGATGTATTAGGCCTCTGTCACCTTACCATGAACACTTCCTAATGTAATATCCCCAGCAGCAGAAGATAGAAATGATGATTCTGTGTAAAGACACTTGGCTTTCAGCAAACCATCTTCAGTAGATACATTAACAGAACTTCCCTGCAGTTTATCTACGGTCACAGTCTAATAAGAGAAAGACTCAAATCAGTTCATTATAAAATGAAGACTGGTAAAAAGCCAGAATTAGTGGGCAACTAATATGTACAGTACATGGCCAATTTATTGACTTCAATTCCCCAGCTCTAATTACAAGATTATGAGCAACAGTGTTTTCTCTGTGGAATAGACCCATTATATTCCTTCATTTATTTAGATCTTCTTTAATTTCTCTTAATAATGTTTTATATTTTCTATGTAGAGTTCTTCATCTTTTGTTAAATTTCTTCCTATTTGATGCATTCTAAATGTTATTATAAAAGATAGCTTTTTAAACTTCCATTTTATCTTAACTGGCTTTTGTATTTGACCTTAAATCCAAAACCTCACTAAACTCACTTAACCGATTCTAATAATCTACCTGAATTAAAACAATTTTTCTACATGCATAATTATATTCTTTACAAGTGATCATTTCATTTCTTCCCTTCTAATCCTCATATTAATATTGTTTTTCCTGTTCTTTCCTGCCTTACAATCTGGCTCAGGCCTCCAATTTAACAGTGAATAGAAGTGATGAGATAATAAATAAGCATCCTTATCTTATTCCTATTCTCAGAGGGAAAGCTTACAACACTGCATCAATAATTATGGTGTTTGCTATAGATATCTTCTAGATCCCTTTTTTTTAGATTAAAGAAGTTCCCTTCTATTTCAAATCTGTTTTGTTGTTGTTGCTATTTAACTCATGAATGGGTTTTAAATTTTAGCATATACTTTATCTGATTTTATTGGACTCTCGTATGATTTTTCTCATTTCATCTGTTAATGTAGTGAATACACTATTACTTCTAGAATTTTTCCACTTTACCTCTAATTAGTCAGTAGCTTTCCACTGAACAAAATGGAAGGATTTTTGTATTTATCCCTAAACTTCTCTAACAAAATTCAGTATGCATTTATGTCTCAAATATTGAGCCCAATGTAAAATGAAGGTATCTAATTAAGGATTCCAAATTATCTTTATAGTATTTTAAACAAATGTTTTATAAGCATAAAGTGAGCGTTAATATAAAATTGTTGACATAAAAACTGAATCACTAGGAAGGCTTGTCACAGTTTTGCCCAGGGTCAAATTCAAGCATTACACTGAGGTATTTAAAGAAAGAACATCTTTGTTTTTCAACACACTGGCATCAGTATTATATTCAATCGTTATACTTCCTTCAAAAATTGTTGAGTTCAAAATATTATTTAATAAGAATTGAGTTTCAAGAATACTAAAATATTAGAAGACAGATAAACTATGAAAAGAGAAATTAAAGTACCCAGAGGTTGTTATGGAAAGCAAACTAAAATTACTTTGCTGTCCAGATTTGAAGTATATAATTTTGGTTTTTAATGGACTTTTATTAGGTATATAAAATACCAACTGCTTCTTTATTAGGTATATAAAATACCAATTGCTTCTTATCTGCTACAGCTAATTATGGATTCATAGGAATTTTTTAAAAATCTAGTTTCAATAAATCTGTCAAAGAAAGATAGATATTTTATAAACATTCAGATTTGTGAGAATACACGTTTTGCGTTCCTCAGTGTAATAGTAAGGTTTAAAATTTCTGAAAAAATTTATCCTTTACCTACAAAATTTCTTCATGAAAAGTTGCTTTATGCATAGCTTAAAATTCTCCAAGTATTTCCATAAAGCAGACAACAAGTATGAATACTCTAGCTTTTTATAAACAGTGAGGCTGTTTTAGGGAATATCAAAAGATAAATGTTGCAAGAATATTTGAAACTTAATTGAATTGGCAAGGGGGAACTTTTGATTAGACTCTCCCCACAACCAAATAAAGCTTTTAAGACACTCCTTATGAGTATCAGGAAAATGTCAAGGATTTACTTTGCCCATTAAACACTAAATATCTTACCCTGTAGGAAGCTAAAAAATATCCTCCCCTGCCCCACCAAACTAAATGAAAGCAAGCAAAAGTACAACACTCCTCATCACAATAATATAGCTACTTTAACCAATCAATCCATAAAATTCATTTCAAAGAAACAGAAAATTCACTAAGGGCCATATATAATGCACTATATCAGATACTAACTAGAACAATTAAACTTAGGACACCATAGTTTACAGCAAAATACTGAGGATCTTATTTATAGTTACTAATGCTAATGGAACAAACACTCAAAAAAATAGATTAAACTGTAGAGCTTGCTTATTAAGTGAAGTAGATATTTAAAGAAAGAACAAAAAGTAGATCCAAAAATACCTTTCTTAGAGAGATATTGCTATAAATTAATTTGCTTTTCGATACAAGAGGAAATTTTTTCATAAAGTTTAGTTATTATAAATCAACATTATAAAATAAAAATGAAGTTTTAAGGAAAAACTGTGGCCTTGTAGCCCAAACGAAGAAAGAAAGGTCAACTGATAACTATATTATCAATTCATTCAACAATCATTCATTCAACAATCCATTCATACAATGGATTTCTATCTTGTCTGTATCAAACTTAGGATACTGAAATTAATGATACAATTTAAAAACAGCCATTCCATATAAAATGATAAAAAATATACTGTTAAGTGTTTATAATGCTCACTTGATTCTCACAATCTTGCTGAGCAGAAAAAACAAACAATACCATCCCTATTTTATGAATAATGAAACACAGTCTCAGTAAAGTTAACTGGTAGGTCTAGGACTGGCCAAATTACCTTTCCTGTGTTTTATTTACCTTTATCATCATCATTATAGTCGACACTATAATGGAGTTAGCTATGCAAGACATTATTTTAAGTACCTTATCTGTATTATGCATTAACTCATTTAATCCTCATAACAACCAGTGTGAGTTAATGTCATTACTATTATTCTATTTTCCAGAAAACCAAGACACATAGAGGTTAAATAACTCATCTGAAGTTAAAGAGCTTAGAAAGTGGCTGAGCCAGGATTCAAACCCAGGTACTCTGGTTCTCAATTATGTGCTCTAAACCAATTCACTATGCTGCCTCTCAAATATCCAAAACACATTTCTATGGAAGTTGTATATTAAAAGTTAACATATTTCGTAAGAACTTATTTTATATAAAACCTCACAAACTTAGAAATATGCCTTAAAAATTAACACTATGCATAATATAAATAGAAAGCAATATCAAAACTGATTCTTTAGTACAACACAAAACTCCATCAGGCAGGAAACAAAATAGTATAACAGAGAGTAGGAATAAATGAATATTCAATAAACCATGAAAGTTGAGAGGATAAATAATGAGTGGAAATAGTGGTCAAAATATTAAAAATAGAAAATAATTAAGATGATTTAAATTCTTCTTTGATAGTTACATGTGAACATCAATATGCAATATTCTGCAACTGCAGTTGTCCTATTTCCCTTTTGCACCTCCAAGACCACAACAATCAGAGAGGTGAAACTAAATGCTGTCTCAAAACAGCTGCCACATAAAGCCAGGCAGTGTCTTTCAACACTTTTTAAAAAGATAAATTTGAATATTTGGGTTTAAACAGTCTCCCACACGTTCTAAGAGAAGGGTGATGGAAAATAAAAGTGACAATAGTAGAACAATTAGTGTTATAACCTACCTTGTTTAATTATGCCAACAATAATCTACATATAAGATACAATTCCTCCCCACCAATTATCGGAGAATACAGCTGAGTATGGAATTGAACAAATTTATGACAAAAGAATCCTTGCAAATTGTCTAACTGTAAAATAAAAGGTGGCTCAGACCTTTCTAAAAGATTTAAAACGTTACTGATCATGCTAAAAAATTGTGACAATTTATACTTCAAAATTATACCTTTATTCTTAATACTATGCTAAACCACAGAAAGCAACAAAAGTTGACTGAAAAAATGTAAACTGTCTTATAACAATCAAAGTTCCTATGGATAATAAAAGCTTTTGGAGAACAGTAATGCTGTCTAATGGTGCCATCTTGTGGAAAACACTGAAGAAAGTTGAGTTTCGAAACTCCTAAAATTGCCTAAAGGCAAAATAAACAGGTCTTGGAAAAAATACTCAAATAAACCTAACAATAAGAAAAATTTAATCCCACTTATTTTGGTATTATGTAATGACTGATTTTAACCCATTATCATTAAGATTAAAATCTCTTCAGAATTAGAATTCAATGTTAAGTATTTACAAGGGATGAAATGGGAGTTTGGGGTTAGTACACAAACTATTACATATAGAATGGATAAACAACAAGGTCCTACTGTATAGCACAGGTAACTATATTCAATATCCTGGGATAAACCATAATGGAAAAGAGTATAAAAAAGAATGTATATGTGTGTATAACTGAGTCACTTTGCTGTATAGCAGAAATTAACACAACACTGTAAATCAACTACACTTCAATACAAAAAAAATTTTTAAAGAAATATTAAGAATTTAAAGATGTTATTGAGGGAGTTCCCTGGTGGTCCAGTGGTTAAGACTTCGCCTTCCAATGAAGGGGGTGTGGGTTCAATCCCTGGTGGGGAAGCTAAGATCCCACATGCCTCGCGGCCAAAAAAACAAATCACAAAACAGGAGCAATATTGTAACAAATTCAATAAAGACTTTAAAAATGGTTTGCATCAAAAAAAAAACTTAAAAAAAAATAAAAACTTAAAAGTTAAAAAAAGATGTTATTGATTCCAAGTAAGTAACTAAGTATCTATCAAAAGTATTAAATCACAAATTTAAAATTAAATTGTATATTTAATCATCTCAGTTCAAGTTTGAATTCACTAATGAACTCAAATGCATTAAAAAGGGAATGTTTTGCCACAAATTTTGTAGAATCTACCCACTGTGTGAGCCAACCAGATGCAAAATTGCAAGTACTAGAAAAGAAAATTACAATCTTACACTTTTATCTGATGCATGAATATCTATATTTCCATAAACTGTTCCCAGGCAGATCACTTTACCTCCTTTTGTTTGAATATGTAATTTTTGACTCTGAAAGACAAATACAAAAATTCACACATAGAAAAAGAGACAATAAATTTGACTTATACTAATAAAAAATGTTCCAATATTTTACACACTTCTTTTAAAATAATAATAAAGCAGTAAAAGAGGAAGTAGAAATGAATAGAAATGCACTATTTGGAATAATAACATCAGTGAGAAAAGAATGTCAATGCTGTTAAAGTGATTAAATAAAGCTCCTTGGACTCAAAGGGAAAAAAAAAGATACTTGGGTGTTCTGGTAGCTTCACTGAAGAAAGGGTTGGGAATCAAAGATCACAATGGCTAACTAAACATACATCATGATGAGGATGACAACAATAATCACTGTTCATCATTATTAATATTCATCGTTAATAACAGTAATATTTATTACTTACTTGGCATCTTCTTTGCACCAAATAACAACGTTCACTACTTTACGTGAACTAACATTTAATTCTCACAATTCAGAGATGGGTATTATATTTTTCCCATTTTACAGAGGAAGGAATCCAAGAATCAGGAAGGTTAAACAACCTTATCAGGTGACACATTAGAAAACAACAAAATCTAAACTAACAGAATCAAACTCTGTATGATTTCAAATCCTACATTCTTATTGCTGGAGTCACCTGAAGAAGTATATATTCACACTTAGGATAACAACCCACTGACTGTTAAACTTTCTAGTAAAACACAGCCCAGAAACTGGAACTAAATGAAAATGTCTCTAAGAAAATAGCAGTTACAGTTAGCCTCCTCTGCTACATAAAAAAAAAATGTGTGTGTATGTAACACTTGATTTCACACTTGGCAAGTGTGGCAGAAACTATGATAGGTCCACAAAAATCCACTTCTTCCCAAAGTAAAGAGTATAGCTGGGCCCATGAAGAGACAATGTTTTCCAGCTTCCCTCACCTCTTAGGTGCTGCTCAGTTCTTGCCAACAGAATATAAATAGAAATGTTACGTGCAATTTCCAGGCTGGTGCTTTTAGAAGAACTAATGTGCGTTCTCTGTGCTCTGCCCCTGCCACCAGGTGCATGTATATTACAATAAGCCTCTAACAGATAGCAGAGCCAGAAGATGAAGGGAACCTACAATACCTGAATAGAAATGAGTCACCCACACACTTGAACACAAATGAGAAATAAACTATAGTTGTGTGTGAGCCATTAGATGTTTGGTCTATTTTTTAGGGTAGCTTACTTCACCTTAATATTTGCATAAGTCTTCAGTTCTACCACATCTATAAAGAGAAAAAGAATAGGTAAATACCAGAAGAAGAAAAACAGCAAAAGCAAACCTACCAATATCATAACAAGCAACAGTAGAGACGTTATCTAAAAAGTGGGAAAAAAAATACAAAACAACCTTCTGGTTGCTTTACTCAGGGGGAAAAACAGTAAAACCTTGGGTAAAATGGCCCAGGAATGAAGTTAAAAAAATTCAGTGAAAAGGGCAAAATGAATCATTCTTAAAAAGTTTATCTATATTACAGCATGGTAGACTTCATGCACATAGAAACATGAGTCAGAAGTCAAACTGTATTTAATACAGTCTTTATCAAGCAGACAAGTAACTGATGAACCTTAGAAAAAAGTATCTCCAAAACAACTGTTATTTTATTTAAATCAGGAGTTCTTAACCAAGTTTACATGACATTCTAGAGAGTCTGTGAAACTTATGAAATTGTAAGCAAAATTTCATATGTGTGCATTTTTTCTAAGGAAATAATCATCATATTTTCAAAGAGGTCTAAACCACAAAAATGTTAATAGCTATCATTAAGTTCAAAGCTCATCTAATTTCAAAAAATGTAAAGTAGATTATAAAACTTAAAAACATATTGATCTTGGGTGGCCTCGACCTGCAGCAAGATTTCAGTTCCCTGCCAGAGACTGAAGTCAGGCAGCAGCAGTGAGAGCTCTGAATCCTAGCCACTAGACCACTGGGGACCAGTGGCCAGTGACAAGGCCCTAGACTATCAGCTGTGTAGAAATGAATTTTCACATAGAGGCGGAAAGTAGTGAAGTAAGTAAAGTGTTTAGGAGGAAAAAGTACAGTTCTTGTGGATAGAAACATGGGTGGGCTCAGAGAGAGTTGCCACCTTGTGGTAGTTTTGAATCACTTTCATGCGGCATTTCTTCCAGGTTTCCTTTGACCAATCATCTTGCTTTGCCTGGTTCTGAGTCCGTATTTGGTATATCTCAGGATCTTTCCTGTGTGTGTGCGCGCGCGCGCGTGCGCGCGCGCATCTCTCAGCCAAGATGGATTCTAGCAAAGAGGCCTATGCGTAGTTGACGTCACTTACTCTGGGGTGGCGCCCCCTCCCTTGTGGACCTCCAAGAAGCCTTTCTGGGCATGTGTAGTCGGGAAGGTCTCCTTGACTTTGAGAATAAGGAATATGTGGTCTTTTATCTCTTATCTGGGAAGGGCCCAGCCTCCTCTCTCCATTGTCCTGCTATTGATATTTTGAAGTTTCTGGCCACAGGGAATGAACTCCAGCTGCTTACCCTGGGGCCCATCTATCTCCTGCCTCAATATGCAAAACAAAGTAGTTAAAATATTTAAATAAATCAGAAGCTATTTAGTATAATATAAACTATTACTATTGCATTTTTTAAAAATGCAAATATGTGGCATTCAGTGAGTTAGTACTACCAGACATTTTGCTTGGACAATAAGGAAAGGTGGAAAGAGCAAGAGCTTGGAATGCAGAAAGACCCAAGTTCAAATCTTAGCTAAATTTATTAGCTGTGGGAACCTAAATGAGTTCCTTAATCTCTTAGTAGCTCAGTTTCTTCCTTGATAAAAAGAAGATAATTCAAGGATTAAATGAAGCCTTAGCTACATTTCTGGGTAAATAATAAGGACTCAGTAAACAGTAGCTGTTACTATTGCTATAAACATCTTATAACATAGATCAAATATATTTCAAATCCTTAAAATGAGTGGAAGAGAAACTTACATTAATAGGCGATCACTAATTAGAGATAACGATATTGTACTATATTTAAAACTTAAACCAGATATTTCAAGAAGCGTTCCCTTTCTGAATTTAAGTCAGTTAAATCCTAAGATCTCAAGAATAATTCTCTTACCTCTTAATTCTCCTAACTACCATTAAGATTCAGCGGACCCAATTCTAATTCTTGAATTTCTTTTTTGAGCTCTTCTATTTGTAGGACTGATATTTCATGACTTTTATTCTTTCTTAGAGGTCCCCCAAAGAATAAATAGAAAATTTACTCATTTTTTAAATAGAATAAAACTCATTCTATCTTAAAATTACCGTAATGGTTCACTGGACTCCTTTGTAAATCTAAAATACATTATGGTATTTTAGTATTCTTATTTTTCATATGTCTCATAACATTTTGCTATTTCATTATCCTAGCAGTTATTTCATTATTATTTGTCAATTATTCCTAACTATGCTAGAAAGTGTCTAAAAGAATAAGACAACAGAAGAATGATGAACTTGCTTCAAATGATGGTTCTCAACTAAAGGTGATTTTTGTTCCCCAGAGGACATTTGGCAATGTGTGGAGATATTTTTCATTGTCCTAAGTGAGTGTGTTTCTTGGCACTTAGTTGGTAGAAGCCAGGAATACTGCTAACCATCCCACAGTGCAAAGGTCAGCCCCTGACAACAAAGAATTTTCCAGCCCAAAATGTCAACAGTGCCAAAGTTGAGAAATCATTTTTCATTTTATGCACATAATGGCAGAAAAAAGAAAACTGACAAAATAGACCTTTCAGAATTATCAGATGGATCGAAAGATGATTGCAAAGAGACAGACAGCAGTACAGTAGCTTCTAATTTTGGCTGTGAAATTGAAAATCTAAGACTCCGAGTCTCCAGAGAACAATATTCTAGATGAATTTCTGAAATTCAAGCATTGATGAGTGACCAATATATTTATAAGGACAAAAAGGAACCATGGTATTCTCACCCATTTAGTCACTCAACATGAAAACTTCATTGTGCAATCTTTTACAAGAAGTGGAACCATCTCATTTTTCCAAAAGGATATGTAATAGTATTCTTTAATCGTTTTTGATATTTGTGCAACTAAACTTTTCTTATTTTTTTGGCTGCGCTGGGTCTTAGTTGTGGCACATGGGATCTTCGTTGCGGCATGCAGGCTCTTTCAGTTGCGGCATGCAGGATCTAGTTCCCTGACCAGAGATCAAACCCGGGTCCCCTGCATTGGGAGCATGGAGTCTTAACCACTGGACCACCAGGGAAGTCCCTGTGCAACTAAATTTACTGAAATGGTTCAAATGTGAAGACATGCCAAAGGTAGGTGTGCAAATAAAAGTGGTTGGGACAAAACAAATAATGTAAAAATTTTTAAATGCATCCAATTAATCATACTAATTACTGTTTATGCATCTAAAAATGAAAATGTTTTGCAATTATGAAGCAAAGATGCCTGACTTCAACAAAGTTACATACCATCAAAGTTCACAGAAGTATTGAGTTTTGGGTCTTCCCTGGTGGCGCAGTGGTTGAGAGTCCACCTGCGGATGCAGGGGACGTGGGTTCGTGCCCCAGTCCGGGAAGATCCCACATGCCGCGGAGCGGCTGGGCCCGTGAGCCATGGCCACTAAGCTTGAGCGTCCGGAGCCTGTGCTCCGCAACGGGAGAGGCCACAACAGTAAGAGGCCCGCGTACCGCCAAAAAAAAAAAAAAAAAAAAAAAAAAAAGTATTGAGTTTTGAATATGCAAGTGTAAGTAGTATCAGTAGTAACAATAAGCTAGAACTTATCAGAGATGTATTTGAAATCATTTAGAGCTGAGACCAATCTAATTTTAAGAAAATTAAATATAAACGCGTTGTTACAAAGTGAGATGAATCATTTGCCGTTTAGCACAAATAACTACTTAATCCTTAAGTAATGAACTACCTGGTAGGTTAAAAATGTGATTAATTTAATATTTTAAGCAAATTTATAATGCTTAACGACTTTTCCTTACTCCTTAATAAATGGAAAAAAATCATTCGTTAAAACTAAAATTTCTTAAACTTAGTAAGATCTGAGAATACTAAGAATGTATTATTAGTATCACTGTACACTTTGAAATTAAATCTAAAAGGAACATGACGAAAACCTTCAAAGTTGCTACAACCTCTATACTTTCATAACAGAACTGACAAACTTTTTGAAAGGAATTTATAAGTGATGAATAAATGATACTCAATATTTCCAATAAATGATGCTTGAATAATAACCTTAATTTGATACCGCAGTTCATAGTTTAAGGTGTTTTAAAAAATAACGTTGAAACAAAATTAGAAAAATATTTATACCTTAACTGACTGTAAGATGCTGGTCCCCTGTTCAGTTTCAATTTTGCAATTATCACACTCAATATTTTGGACTTTTACACAGCCAGACCCTGATGACTTGATATCCAAATCTAGAAATGAAAAAAAGAAAAACCAAGTTAGTACTATGGTTAATGAGCTCCAAAGCATTTCAGTGTCCCGCAGAAATCCAGCTCCTCAGTTTACTGAATCCTGGAAAGAACACAGCTGTCAGCAGCCTCTCTCTAAAGGTAAGGGATCTCTACCACAGCAACCAAATGTAAAGCCCTTTTCTACCAGTTTTTAAAAAGCAGTTATTTCTGTTGGCAGATATCATCTAAAGAGAGAAAGTAACATAGGAGATAAGTAAAGCAGGTCAAAGATTCCAGTTCTTATAGATCATAGAAGCCTCTTCGCCACTGAGAAAATACAAACACAGATTTGAGTAAGAGTGCAGCAAGTTAACAAGTCATTCTGGTGAACTGGATAAGTCAGTTAGCTTATTCTCTTCTATATTCATGAAAGTTTAAAGATTTGATCCCAAACTTTCCCCAAGTTAAAAAGCCTACTGCAGGAGTGGCATGGATCAGTATATATGACCATGAGTTCGGCTTTCAAATCCTACCTCTAACCTTTCATATGTAAAAAATGAAGATATTATCATGCAGCTATATCACAAGGTATCTGAAGTGATAAAAATTGGGAACAACTTTGAAAAATCTAGTACTGAATAATATTAAAACCTCAAAATTGTGGATAAATAACAGTGATATATATGAAGAAAATTTGGCAAATAAACCATACTTAGCTTTAAAGTTTAACTTTAAATTCAATTTAAGGTGTAACCTTAGGTGTCTCTGTATAAAAATTAAAAATCTTTAAAACACTGATATTTAATACCTAGTTCAAATAAATATTGAGGATTTCCCTTAAAACAGATCAGAGAATTAATGCTACCCCAAAGACAAACTACTGGGGTCTTAGCACTACAATTCCAATAGTCATGACATAAAAATCAATTTCTACAGTTGAGTATATGGCAGTCTCTATAAAGGCAATATTTTGGTTGGGATTAATATAAAATACATAAAAAGACAATTTTACCCCATACTTACATGGATGCAAATGTAACTGCAAAACTTTCAGCCAGTTAAGTAGTGTTACAACATAAGGTTTGATCTCAAGCAGTAATGATAGGCATGGGAAGAAGAAAACAATTTCTAAATATACTCTACCCTCAGTAGGTGGGTAAGGCTACATACTGAGTTGTAGTAATGCTACGCTCACTCATTCACTGAAACAGTTATAGACAAACTGGAGGAACACGAGTAAGTATGAGTAAAATTGAATTATGTTGATTTGAGGGCCTGTGGAATATCCACATGTTAACACTAAATTGGAAATGAGATTGTGGCTCTAAAAAGAGGAATCAGCAAATAATAAGGTTTGGGTAGTTCCATTTTTATCTGTGCTGCCATAAAATTTTGCTTATCTCTATTTCAATACTCAGTCTATTTTGTACTGCATAATACATTGGCAAGTCTTCCTCCCCACCCCAGACTGTTAACATTTTGAGATCAGGGTCTCTTATTCACCTAGGCTAGTTAAAAAAAAGTTGAGAAGCAATAAGGCATAGTGGTTCAG